CAAAGCTTCCAGGCTTTCTGTCCTGCCAATAAGTAGGTTTTTTTTTAGTTTTTTTGAGCCCTGCACTGAAACTACCAGTTCGAGTCCCAGAAGTCCACCCAGATGAAGATTCCTCCCAGACCAAAGGTACCACCAAAAAAGCTCTTACTGCCAATGGAGTGCCCAGGCTGAGCCACCAAGTGCACCAGAAAGCCAAAGGTTCCAGGCTTTCTTTCTGGTGAAGAAGAGTGCTTTTTTTGTTTTTTTGAGCCCTGCACTGAAACTGCCAGTTCGAGTCCCAGAAGTCCACCCAGATGAAGATTCCTCCCAGACCAAGGGTGCCACAACAGAATTCTCCTGCTGCCCATGGAGTGCCCAGGCTGACTCACCAAGTGCACCAGAAAGCCAAAGCTTCCAGGCTTTCTGTCCTGCCAATAAGTAGGTTTTTTTTGTTTTTCTGAGCCCTGCACTGAAACTGCCAGTTCGAGTCCAAGAAGTCCAGCCAGATGAAGATTCCTCCCAGAGCAAAGGTGCCACACCAGAATTCTCTTGCTGCCCATGGAGTGTTCAGGATTGCCTGCTAAGTGCACCAGAAAGCCAAAGCTTCCAGGCTTTCTGTCCTGCTAATAAGCGTTTGATTTTTTGATTTTTTGAGCCCTGCACTGAAACTGCCAGTTCGAGTCCCAGAAGTCCAGCCAGATGAAGATTCTTCCCAGAGCAAAGGTGCCACACCAGAATTCTCCTGCTGCCCATGGAGTGCCCAGGCTGGCCCACCAAGTGCACCAGAAAGCCAAAGCTTCCAGGCTTTCTGTCCTGCCAATAAGTAGGTTTTTTTTGGTTTTTTGAGCCCTGCACTGAAACTGCCAGTTGGAGTCCCAGAAGTCCACCCAGATGAAGATTCCTCCCAGTGCAAAGCTACCACCAAAAAAGCTCTTGCTGACCAAGGTGTTCCCAGGCTGACTCACCAAGTGCACCAGAAAACCAAAGGTTCCAGGCTTTCTTTCCTGGGGAGAAGGGCTGTGGTTTTCTTTTTCAGGCCTACACTGCAACTGCCAGTCCCACTCCCAATATTGTAGACAGATGAAGATTCCTCCCAGACCAAAGGTGCCACAACAGAATTCTCCTGCTGCCCATGGAGTGCCCAGGATTGCCTGCTAAGTGCACCAGAAAGCCAAAGCTTCCAGGCTTTCTGTCCTGGCAATAAGTAGGTTTTTTTTGGTTTTTTGAGCCCTGCACTGAAACTGCCAGTTCGAGTCCCAGAAGTCCACCCAGATGAAGATTCCTCCCAGACCAAAGGTGCCACAACAGAATTCTCCTGCTGCCCATGGAGTGTTCAGGATTGCCTGCTAAGTGCACCAGAAAGCCAAAGGTTCCAGGCTTTCTTTCCTGTGAAGAAACAGTTTTTTTTGTTTTTTTGAGCCCTGCACTGAAACTGCCAGTTGGAGTCCCAGAAGTCCAGCGAGATGAAGATTCTTCCCAGAGCAAAGGTGCCACACCGGAAATCTCAAGCTGTACATGGAGTGCCCAGGCTTACCCACCAAGTGCACCAGAAAGCCAAAGCTTCCAGGCTTTCTGTCCTGCCAATAAGCGTTTTATTTTTTGTTTTTTTTGAGCCCTGCACTGAAACTGCCAGTTCGAGTCCCAGAAGTCCACCCAGATAAGGGTTCTTCCCAGACCAAAGGTGCCACAACAGAATTCTCCTGCTGCCCATGGAGTGCTCAGGATTGCCTGCCAAGTGCACCAGAAAACCAAAGCTTCCAGGCTTTCTGTCCTGCCAATAAGCGTTTTATTTTTTTGTTTTTTTGAGCCCTGCACTGAAACTGCCAGTTCGAGTCCCAGAAGTCCAGCCAGATGAAGATTCCTCCCAGAGCAGAGGTACCACCAAAAAAACTCTTTCTGCCTATGGAGTGCCCAGGCTGAGCCACCAAGTGCACCAGAAAGCCAAAACTTCCAGGCTTTCTTTCCTGTAAAGAAGAGTGGGTTTTGTGATTTTTTGAGCCCTGCACTGAAACTGCCAGTTGGAGTCCCAGAAGTCCACCCCGATGAAGATTCCTCCCAGAGCAAAAGTACCACCAAAAAAGCTCTTGCTGACCAAGGAGTTCCCAGGCTGAGCCACCAAGTGCACCAGAAAACCAAAGGTTCCAGGCTTTCTTTCCTGGGCAGAAGGGCTGTGGTTTGCTTTTTCAGGCCTACACTGCAACTGCCAGTCCCACTCCCAATATTGTAGACAGATGAAGATTCCTCCCAGACCAAAGGTGCCACAACAGAATTCTCCTGCTGCCCATGGAGTGCCCAGGCTGAGCCACCAAGTGCACCAGAAAGCCAAAGCTTCCAGGCTTTCTGTCCTGCCAATAAGCGTTTTATTTTTTGGTTTTTTGAGCCCTGCACTGAAACTGCCAGTTCCAGTCCCAGAAGTCCAGCCAGATGAAGATTCGTCCCAGAGGAAAGGTACAACCAAAAAACCTCTTGCTGCCCATGGAGTTCCCAGACTGAGCCACCAAGTGCACCAGAAAGCCAAAGCTTCCAGGCTTTCTGTGCTGCCAATAAGCATTTGTTTTTTTTGGTTTTTTGAGCCCTGCACTGAAACTGCCAGTTGGAGTCCCAGAAGTTCACCCAGATGAAGATTCCTCCCAGACCAAAGGTGCCACAACAGAATTCTCCTGCTGCCCATGGAGTGCCAAGGCTGGCCTGCCAAGTGCACCAGAAAGCCAAAGCTTCCAGGCTTTCTGTCCTGCCAATAAGCGTTTTATTTTTTGTTTTTTTGAGCCCTGCACTGAAACTGCCAGTTCGAGTCCCAGAAGTCCACCCAGATGAAGATTCTTCCCAGAGCAAAGGTGCCACACCGGAAATCTCAAGCTGTACATGGAGTGCCCAGGCTTACCCACCAAGTGCACCAGAAAGCCAAAGGTTCCAGGCTTTCTGTCCTGCCAATAAGTAGGTTTTTTTTGGTTTTCTGAGCCCTGCACTGAAACTGCCAGTTCGAGTCCAAGAAGTCCAGCCAGATGAAGATTCCTCCCAGAGCAAAGGTGCCACACCAGAATTCTCTTGCTGCCCATGGAGTGTTCAGGATTGCCTGCTAAGTGCACCAGAAAGCCAAAGCTTCCAGGCTTTCTGTCCTGCTAATAAGCGTTTGATTTTTTGATTTTTTGAGCCCTGCACTGAAACTGCCAGTTCGAGTCCCAGAAGTCCAGCCAGATGAAGATTCTTCCCAGAGCAAAGGTGCCACACCAGAATTCTCCTGCTGCCCATGGAGTGCCCAGGCTGGCCCACCAAGTGCACCAGAAAGCCAAAGCTTCCAGGCTTTCTGTCCTGCCAATAAGTAGGTTTTTTTTGGTTTTTTGAGCCCTGCACTGAAACTGCCAGTTTGAGTCCAAGAAGTCCAGCCAGATGAAGATTCCTCCCAGACCTAAGGTGCCACAACAGAATTCTCCTGCTGCCCATGGAGTGTTCAGGATTGCCTGCTAAGTGCACCAGAAAGCCAAAGCTTCCAGGCTTTCTTTCCTGTGAAGAAACAGTTTTTTTTTGTTTTTTTGAGCCTTGCACTGAAACTGCCAGTTCGAGTCCCTAAAGTCCACCCAGATGAAGATTCCTCCCAGAGCAAAGGTGCCAAAACAGAATTCTCCTGCTGCCCATTGAGTGCCCAGGCTGAGCCACCAAGTGCACCAGAAAGCCAAAGCTTCCAGGCTTTCTGTCCTGTGAAGAAGCGTTTTTGTTTGGTTTTCTGAGCCCTGCACTGAAACTGCCTGTTCGAGTCCCAGAAGTCCAGCCAGATGAAGATTCGTCCCAGAGGAAAGGTACAACCAAAAAACCTCTTGCTGCCCATGGAGTTCCCAGACTGAGCCACCAAGTGCACCAGAAAGCCAAAGCTTTCAGGCTTTCTGTGCTGCCAATAAGCATTTGTTTTTTTTGGTTTTTTGAGCCCTGCACTGAAACTGCCAGTTGGAGTCCCAGAAGTCCAGCCAGATGAAGATTCTTCCCAGAGCAAAGGTGCCACACCGGAAATCTCAAGCTGTACATGGAGTGCCCAGGCTTACCCACCAAGTGCACCAGAAAGCCAAAGGTTCCAGGCTTTCTGTCCTGCCAATAAGTATGTTTTTTTTGTTTTTTTGAGCCCTGCACTGAAACTGCCAGTTGGAGTCCCAGAAGTCCAGCCAGATGAAGATTCCTCCCAGAGCAAAAGTACCACCAAAGAAGCTCTTGCTGACCAAGGAGTTCCCAGGCTGAGCCACCAAGTGCACCAGAAAGCCAAAGGTTCCAGGCCTTCTTTCCTGGGGAGAAGGGCTGTGGTGTGCTATTTCAGGCCTACACTGCAACTGCCAGTCCCACTCCCAATATTGTAGACAGATGAAGATTCTTCCCAGACCAAAGGTACCACAACAGAATTCTCCTGCTGCCCATGGAGTGCCCAGGATTGCCTGCTAAGTGCACCAGAAAGCCAAAGGTTCCAGGCTTTCTGTCCTGCGAATAAGCGTTTTATTTTTTGGTTTTTTCAGCCCTGCACTGAAACTGCCAGTTCGAGTCCCTAAAGTCCACCCAGATGAAGATTCCTCCCAGAACAAAGGTACCACCAAAAAAGCTCTTACTGGTAATGGAGTGCCCAGGCTGAACCACCAAGTGCACCAGAAAGCCAAAGCTTCCAGGCTTTCTTTCCAGTGAAGAAGAGTGTTTTTTTTGGTTTTTTGAGCCCTGCACTTAAACTGCCAGTTCGAGTCCAAGAAGTCCACCCAGATGAAGATTCGTCCCAGACCAAGGCTGCCAAAACAGAATTCTCCTGCTGCCCATGGAGTGCCCAGGCTGAGCCACCAAGTGCACCAGAAAACCAAAGGTTCCAGGCTTTCTATCCTGCCAATAAGTAGGGTTTTTTTGGTTTTCTGAGCCCTGCACTGAAACTGCCAGTTCGAGTCCAAGAAGTCCAGCCAGATGAAGATTCGTCCCAGACCAAAGGTGCCACAGCAGAGTTCTCCTGCTGCCCATGGAGTGTTCAGGATTGCCTGCCAAGTGCACCAGAAAACCAAAGCTTCCAGACTTTCTGTCCTGCTAATAAGCGTTTGATTTTTTGATTTTTTGAGCCCTGCACTGAAACTGCCAGTTGGAGTCCAAGAAGTCCACCCAGATGAAGATTCCTCCCAGAGGAAAACTACCACTAAAAAAGCTCTTGCTGACCAAGGAGTTCCCAGGCTGACCCGCCAAGTGCACCAGAAAACCAAAGGTTCCAGGCTTTCTTTCCTGGGGAGAAGGGCTGTGGTTTGCTTTTTCAGGCCTACGCTGCAACTGCCAGTCCCACTCCCAATATTGTAGACAGATGAAGATTCCTCCCAGACCAAAGGTGCCACAACAGAATTCTCCTGCTGCCCATGGAGTGCTCAGGCTGGCCTGCCAAGTGCACCAGAAATCCAAAGGTTCCAGGCTTTCTGTCCTGCCAATAAGCGTTTTATTTTTTGGTTTTTTGAGCCCTGCACTGAAACTGCCAGTTGGAGTCCCAGAAGTCCAGCCAGATGAAGATTCCTTCCAGAGGAAAAGTACCACCAAAGAAGCTCTTGCTGCCCATGGAGTGCCCAGACTGAGCCACCAAGTGCACCAGAAAGCCAAAGCTTCCAGGCTTTCTGTGCTGCCAATAAGTATGTTTTTTTTGGCTTTTTGAGCCCTGCACTGAAACTGCCAGTTGGAGTCCCAGAAGTCCACCCAGATGAAGATTCGTCCCAGACCAAGGCTGCCAAAACAGAATTCTCCTGCTGCCCATGGAGTTCCCAGGCTTACCCACCAAGTGCACCAGAAAACCAAAGCTTCCAGACTTTCTCTCCTGCTAATAAGCGTTTTTCTTTTTGATTTTTGAGCCCTGCACTGAAACTGCCAGTTCGAGTCCCAGAAGTCCAGCCAGATGAAGATTCCTCCCATAGCTAAGGTACCACCAAAAAAGCCTTTGCTGCCTATGGAGTGACCACGCTGACCCATGAAGTGCACCAGAAAGCTAAAAGTTCCTGGATTTCTTTCCTGTGAATAAGAGGGTTTTTTTGGTTTTTTGAGCCCTGCACTGAAACTGCGAGTCCTACTCCCCAAAATTCCACACAGATGAAGATTCCTCCAGCCTGCCTCTGCTGGAGAATGCTCTGCCCAGTGACTGGGACAAGAACCAGGGTGAAGAGAAGCTATTCTTTATGCGGATGAGGCCAATGAGAACAGAAGGATCTTTCTCGCCAGTCTGGGGGAGCCAGCCAAGCTCTCCCATGGACTACTGCACGGCCACAGGCAGGTCTGCCCACTTCAGCTTCATGGAGCCTCTCCTGGCTGGACCAGCAGTCGAGCAGTCGGTGCCTGGGTTCCAACACTCCCCTGTTCCACTGTTAATTACCCTCCATCACTAGGATTTTGTAGCTTCTCCTTGAGTCTGAGTTTGTCCAGCTTTCAGCCTTTTCTGTGTTGTTTTTCAGCTCACAGAGTCTGTGTTGTCTTTTCTCCATTACAGATCCTTTTCTTTTTTCCCTGAAAAAAGTGAAGATGGTTCAGTGTGTTGTTTCCCACCTATTTCTCCTCTCCTTCCCTAGAATAACATTCTGTGCCCAGAGTTACTTACATTTTAATTACCATTAACAAACTGTGCTAAATGCAGAGGGTAAAAGACTGGGACGGGTTATCATGGGATCTACCACGTTCTCTGCCCACGGAGAGGGAGTGGGATCCTGAGTGATGGAGGGCAGAGGAATGAGCTCCAACCCTGGCCTGATTC